AAAGGTGTTAAAGAGGACATCGACATGTTTTTTTAGCTTCAAAGCCAAGTGATTTCTTTAATCGGTACATTAACAACCTGATTGTAAGATGGAAAAGCACCATCGATAAGAATGGTGACTAATTCATTTAGTATATGTTTTGTTTTGATATACAAGTTGTTCGGGTTTTTTCATCTAAAAAAGCAACATTAATTTCTTGATGACCTAATACATATCTGCCATTAGCAATACAGATAACTGAATATAACTGTAATCGTACAATACTAATTTTTTTATCATTAAGTTAGAAGTTTTCAGTATTTGTTTAAGCAGACTGAAAAAAAATATTTCACAAATTTTTCATTCAAAATAATGTCCCTATCTATTTATTTTATATAATGCTATTTTACTTTTACAAAAAAATTAGAGCTATAATGGTTGATATTTCAAATGAGCCACAAATTCTGCCAAATATTAACAAAACTTTATGTATGTGGAAAAAAATAACTGTTTTAGTTATTAAAAACACTGAATTTAATACATCAATACTTAATTGGTATTAATTCATAATACAGTATTTTTGCAACCATAACAATTATGTTTATTAATATACACACACAACCCACCCATAACTGTAGTTTAGACCACCTCAAAAAGTAATCAGTCGTGTGCTGAAATAGTTAGCCTTCTTCAAAAATAACAAACAGGTGCTCACATAATCTGCTACTTACAATTAAAGTTGTGACTTACAATAATGTTGTTACTAAGCACATGTTTGCATTCCCATCTAGTTTCCACTTGCCTTCAGTTATCTGTGACTGATGGCTATTTATGGCAAGGGGTTCCAAAATTTTCTAAGAAGTTAGCAGTCACCTAAATTTTCCACTATCCAGCAGAAATTGAAGCAAAATTGTCTCTCAAAAGGATTTTCACCAATCAGGAAGATGTGCAATTCGTTAGGTATAGCTCATTAGGATCTGCATAAATCTTGCCCACACAAGCCCTATCACTTCATGCCACTGCCAATAAGTGACATACCTCTAAAAGTTGTTTGATTAGATGAGCATTGTGTTTTAGCAACTTATACTCCAAAGTAAACTGATAAATCAGTTTTGTTTGTTGCTACATCATGAAGGTTTATTGAAAAATTGGTGACAAAAGGCAGTCATTTCCAGGCGAGATAAAAGAAAATTGTTAATAAATAACATACTTCATTTTATACAGTATTTTATTTCAAATTTAAACATTTGTTTCATAATACAAGTTGCAAGCTACAACCTATACACTACAGAGCAGCTTCAGTAATACACATTGCAAGTTGCAATGTCGTCAGTTCAAAAAAATGTGCTACTGCTTCTTTGTGTGTGAATATGGTATTTCTATTTGCCAGATTTTTTTTTGGTCACCACTTCCAACCATATTTCTTAACCTCTATTATAACCTATGGTAAAACAACAATAAAAACTTACAAAAATTCTGTACAAGTAGACTTTAACAAGGTATTCTAGAAAATTATTTACTTACTTCATTATTCAGAACCTTTGTTTCAATTTAATTTTTGTTTAACAGATAAAAAAATTAATTTCATTAGGTTATTATGTACTAAGGTTTCAGAGTTACAGAAGTGTTTCTGGTCTAGTTACAGAACAAAAATAAAAAAACCAAAACAACAGCTTTAAACATTCATTCTTGCAGCTTTTTTTACTCCAACAGAGAACCTGTTCTGAGGAAAGAACTGTATCTTTTCTAATATATCCTGACCAGTGATCATTTCTTTACTTTAAAATACTGAGTTTTTTTACATTGAAGAGCCACAAAACAATTGTTAGTACCATTCCATAAACTACTGTAAATTATCTCTAATTAGTTCCATAAAATAGTATTATTTCCATCTGAAAGATCTGTATGAACATATTTTATTTCTCTTCATACAAATTACTATCATAAAATGAAAAACAAAAAGACTGGCACTTCAAAGGATTACAAGATTCATACAACAGAACAACTAAAGTTTTAATACTATTTAAGTCGACTCGAGTGTCAATGACGTCTCTATTTGAACACCTGAGTGCCATCAATCTTTCGTTACAAATTTTCAAAATCAATAGAGGTTATGCAAATAACCAAGCATGTACATCAACCAACAATCATACTTACATGCAGTATTAATGCACCTCAGTTGACATTCTTACATGCTTACCTTATGTATCTTGGAGTTGACATTTTTTTAATACTATTATTACCATGTGCTAATCATATATTCCCTCCTCCTCACCTCATTTACATGCTGAATTGAGGTGGTCCTTTGAAAGCTGGAATCAAAAAGTTGGAAGAACAATCTTGAGTATTAGATTAATAGATCTGGACTTTGGAAGCCTAAATGAAGACATTCTTCAACATGTTTTACATTTCTTTCCAATTAAGAGTTATTATGGTAACTTGTTGAAAGGTTTGTTTTTGATGTGCAGTTACTTTTAATTATTTCAAACTTTTGCTGTATGGATAAGTGTATATATATGTATGGTAGTAAAGGGTGTTCTGTCGTTTTGCTCTTTATAATCTTGGTAATTAGATCGTATACCTAAGTTTAACAGTAATATTCAATTTTATTGCAGGGTTTTTTTATGCTTTTTTTTATTAAAAGTAAAATGTGATAACTCCTGATGTACGAGACCAATAGGAAAATGTATGAACATATTTACTATAAACAAACTATCCTTGATTAGTTATTGTTACATACTACATCAAAACTTTCTCAAGTTAGATAAATATACCTATGTTATAAATGCATATTCATATAAATATTAAAACCACAAGTCAGTTCAAACTGTATTTTTTATATTTAATTATAAAGGCTACTTTTAACTACAAAGTTGATTTCACTTTCATAGTTATAATGCCCTGAGAAGTAGGTTTCACTTTCAGGGTTATAATGCCCTAAGAAGTAGGTTTATATGTTTTACAAGAAATAAAGAAATAATTATACACTTTACCTGAAAGAACAGTCATAACAATTAGTGCCGTTATGGCACCCAAAAATACTGTGAGTCGAGGATGACGCATTGCCATAATAGCAGCAATGAAAAAGGTTTTATCTCCCAATTCAGAAACAACAATCACTGAAACTGATGCTACAAAGGCATGGACAAAATTTAGTTCTCCAGACTTTCCAAATTTATCCAAAAATTTGCTTGGCTTTTTAAAATCACCACCTTTCTGTAAAGAAAAATGTATATTTCAACAAATATTGTACATCAGTAAGTTAACTTCAATAAATATGAATTTCAATCACATGAATTTTCAAAAAAATTAAATAAAAATAACCAATGCAAATAAACATGTATACAAATTAACAATACAAAAAAGACAAAACTTCTTCAATAATGTTTTAACCTACCTACAAACTCACAAGAGACTAAAAACAAAAAGCAAGAATTATTGAAATCATGCACAGAATAAGAAAAACAATGTAAATTCATAAATGTTTAGTAACTTCTATAAATCTTAACTGTCTTTTGTTATAATGTTAATCTGTGTTATTTGTTATCTCACTTTTATTCATATAAGTTACAATAGTGACTAGGATGAGAAGTTGTCTGTTTGGAGGCTTGAATTTTGCCAATACAGAAAACTTTGATCTCAGGTCTATCATTAGCTAAGGTTTTTGGAATCAAACACCGGTCAGAACAGAATATTTAACATATTGATCCCTTGCTCTGGTACCTAATTACTAGTAGTTGTTCTCCTGAAAGCTACCCAAATTAAATAGACAATATGTCCAACTGTCTCTCATACTCCACTCGGTGATGGCCTGATATTATAAGTGTACCATAAAGGTAGAATAATTTTATTAAACTTTCTGTGTATGCATATGCTGTTGGCCTGAGAATGTTAGTTAGTGAGATATGATGTGGGTTTGAGAACAGGACAAGTCTTGCCCTAAATTGGAGCCACTAAGACAATCACAATGGAGGTTTGTCTGCTTAAGAATGGATCCTCACTTGCTAGCTCAAATGGAAGAGTTTCAGTCTCAGAAAATTAGTGTGACAAGAGTTCTGGTCCAAGATAATATTTTGATCCAATACAATATGTATACTCTTAATAGCTATTAAAGAGATTCTGTAATGATTTGACTGTCTTTTGTTGTTGTTTTTTGAAATACTAAAATATACACACAAGCAATCTCTTTCACAAGTAGTACTATATTACAAAAGAAAATCAGAGTTATGTATTTAAAAATATTAAAACTTTCTAAAAACTAAATTTTCTGTAACTGCTATAGTTTTACAATCTACAATCCTTCCGATTTTCATTATGTACAGTGTATCAAGATTCACCAAAGGCTACAAAATGTTTAATAGTTCATACTTATACATGCTGTGCAGTAAATCATAAATTTAGCCTAAGTAAGTTATTAATCTTTACATTAAAAGACTAGTGTGGAAAGATGAAATTATAACAATAATATTTAGAAAGTATACAACTCAAAGGATGTAAAACTTACAGTGACAAATTTGCATTTTCCTCTGTTGAATACCCTGGTATTAACAGTTTCTCATCAGAATGCTAATGAAGCCCCTCCCCCCCCATACAGACTAGCAAACTTAAGTAGCTACTTTAAATAGATACATAAATACAGTAAATGTGCTACACAACTGTACAGCAAAGTTAATATTTTCCTACACTGAAAACACATTTCTCTCACATAATAGCTTCTCTTGTTCAGCACTGCCCTCTATATGCAAAAGTTTTTTTGCTTGCCACTAGCTTTGAAACTTCCACCTACTCCACATCCAATATGGTTCTACTGAGTTTTCACACACAAATAAGCATGTGGTGACCCTCCACCAATAGGAGATCAACACATTCTTCTGATGCAGGTTATTCCCTCTATATTATTCAGCCTAATCCTTCACTTCGAGATTAGGCACAAAAGAAGCAGCAGAAGTGATGAGGAAAGGTAGGAAGTGTGAGGGGAAGTAGGTACCTATCGGAAAAACATTTTCAGTGAAGAGAAATATTAACTCCCGATACAGTATCTTATCTCTTCTCACATAATAGCTAGAATCCCTTACTGATGAGGTGGAGAGACCAGTGCAAAAAATTACCTAGATGAGCACCCTTTGGAAAGCATCCGAAGAATGTTTATGAAGTGTAACCTCTGTTGGGAGAGGAACACTCCCATGATAGACTGCCCCACATCTGTACCAGATATACTCTTCACCCAATGGGGAAGTAATTGTTGCATAAATGGGCAGAAATGAGCACATCCATGAATGTAGACATGTCAGTTGGTCCAGCTAAACACCCAACACAAACTCCAAGGTTTCCAATCAAAATAGTAATGGTGTGGAAAACAAAATAGATCAGTCTCACAGAGTAGAATAGCTAAGCCATGTCAGACCATACTCAGTGGGTTAACCCCAGTCAAAACTAGGCAACCTCAAGTATTTATCATCCATTCTGCAGTAGGATGACGGTCCCAACCATCTTCACCTCAAGCCTATGAGATGGAAGAGGTTTCATTCCATCTGACTAAACAGGGCACATGTGCACAAATCCTGAACCAACACTATCCACTCGGCAACCAGACATTTGAAGGACTGTAGAAAGGGAAGTGTCTTTGTGGCAGGTCACTGAAGTCCAAAAACAACCAGAATCCTAGTTCCTGATTCAGCTCCATGCACTACCAGAACTTATGATTCGCAAACCACAGGTGGTATGCTGGGATTGCCCCAGCAAACCAGAGTACCTGTCCACCAGTCTGTCTCCTTACAATACCAAACTTCCAAGCCTCAGCTTGATGGAGAAGGTACGCCAGGGGTACCCCAACCAACTAATATGTTGAGTTTGTGGTAGGACGAGGGCTCACGACCAACACATACGTGAGATCTTATGTTAGCTGTTCCAGCTCTAACCCAAAACTACCATCTGGGAATCGACATCCAGGTGATGGTAGGATGAGGGGTCCCATCCGGAAGGATGAACTGCATTTTGGTGGATCTACTCCAATTTATGAATCAGTGGGAGGATCAACACCATGTACACCGGCAGAACACCACCACCCTACTCTCTACTGAATAGGATTGAGCACATTCAGGAGGAAGCCTCCATGGTCCATGGAAAGGAACTGGTAAATGGTAAGGACTCCAATACTCCACTTAAAGAAGGGGAAGAAGCTTGTTAAGCAGTCCAGAGGAATGCTGACACTGGAGACTGTGCAATAGGTGACCATGGAAAACCCATTACGAAAAGTAAGGAGGGAGCTGGATAATGGAGTCCAAGAGATCCCTGGCAAGGTTACACTGATCACAGCATCCATTGAAGGGTGTGCATGTCAGCACACCCTGTTTGAAAAGGAAAAGGAGACAACACCCAGTATTTGTGTCCACATATGGACGTAGTTTCACCAGATCACCCAATGTTGTTGATTTGGCCACTGATATAAAGGCTGATGTAATCAGGGAGTAATTTAGACCTTTTGTGTCTGTTAGTTGTGTCTTTGACAAATAACACTGGCAATCCTATACCCATACGTATTCTACATCATGCTGGGATGATTTAATCATTGTTGTTAGAAGGTATATTGCCTTTACATTCTGCCACTGGTGAGGCTGTTATTGCTCAAGGTATTGAGGGTGGCTTTGTTAATGTTCCTCTTCATCACATTTATTTAGCATCAGACCTAGTTTCGGGACCAGTTATGGTTAGAGTAAAACCTACTCTGCCAATTAAGGGTGTATCATTATTGTTGGGAAACAATTTGGCTCGAGGAAAAGTTGTTGCAGAACCTAAAATGGTTAGTGAGTCAATCACTGTTTCATCTAAGGATGATGTTGTCGTTGAGGACAATCTCGATGTGTTTCCCTCGTGTGCTGTGACTCGGACTCAGGTTAAGAAATTAAGCCAAAAACAAATGATAGACATGGATTTAGAGGACAATATTATAGATTTGTCTCATACATTTCTTGGATCCGACAAGGATCTTGTGGATAATTGTCCTACTGATGATTCCTCGGTGAGTGACAACGATGGACGTGAGGGATCTGATTCACCTAGTGAAGTTCCATTTATTAAAAGTAAACTGATCACTGAACAAGAAAAAAGATCTGCAGATCTCTTCACTATTTAAATATGCACTCCCAAAAGATGAACTGGAGAAAGTTCCAAATGGTTATTTTTTCAAAAATGGTGTGTTTATGAGGAAATGGAGACCACCAGATGTACCAGCTTCAGAGGACTGGGCTATTGTTTATCAAATAGTTGTTCCCATAGCATATGGTTGTGAAATATTGAAAACTGCCCATGAACTCCCCATGGGAGGTCATTTAGATGTCAACAAGACATGTGAGAAAATTATGAGACATTTCTTTTGGCAAAAATTAGGTAAGACTCAGTTTTGTGAAACTTGTCATACCAGTCAGTTGGTCAGAGAACTTAACCAGAAAATTCCTGTTGTTCCTTTGAAACCTATCCAAGCTTTCAAAGAACCCTTCAGTCATGTGAAAGTTCATTGTATTGTGAACTATTCAACTCCTACCAACAAGAAAAGTTTGATGAGATTTTTGGGAATGGCTGGTTATTACAGGAAGTTATTTAAAAATTTTGCTGACATAACTGTACCATTAACAAACCTAATGAAAGAAAAATAAAAAATTCAAGTGGTCTGAAACATTTCAATCTGCTTTTGAAAAGATAGAGGACTAAATATTTTTGTACGTTTGTAAAACTTTTGTACATTGATCAATATTTGTAATAACTGTTATTATAAATTGTGTTATTGTTTGTGTATTAAAATATATTTGTATTAAAAACAAACTGTGTGTATCAATCTTGTTGGCAAGTATCATAAATTGGATATATAGACATTTATTTAATTTCTATGTGTAAATTATCATTTAACTCAGTTTCAGGCTATTCTAAATTATAATACATTATGTAATAAATTGGAGACTCGTCTGGGATAAATTGTAATATGTAACATATGCTATTCCTAATACATTCAGATATTGTAATAAATAATATATTTCACTTTACATCAATTTTTATCATCATTATAGCATATGAAAACATATAAAGTATGGATTTAGAATGTGGGCACAGCAAGTTCCAATGAGTTATTTGTATGAAGAAATAAATCTAGTTGTGTATGGCTAAGCATTGATACAAAAGTGAGATTCTTTAAAAATCAACAATATAACAGAAAAAAGAAACACACCTAAAACCTCAGAATGGTTGATTCAAAAATATACATAATTTTAAACTGGATTGGAGAGAAAAGCATACCACTTTAGAAGTTCTTAATTTTTTCAAATTTCAACTGTACCTATTCATTATATAGCTGGAAAATTAACACAATTAGTCAGTTACCTAGGAATATTGATTAATGTCACACAAAATAATCAATTAATAGAAATTACAATTAAATTGATTAATGTCACAAAAATCGTCAACTAGTAGGTGTTTCCGGTTACCACTGTTTTTAAATATTCCAACTATCCAGTAATCAAAATTATAGTTAAATTGATTAATTTCAAGAAAATAATCAAGTAATCAAAATTAGGGATTCTGATTATTATTATTTTCAATTCTTACAATAATCCCAGTAATTTAAATATTTTGTTTATTGTTCATCATAAAAGTTCAATGCTCTGCCCATCCTGAGTATCAAAACTCAATTTATAGCAATATACTTTAATTCTATCAATTCATGTTAGAATAATCAATGTTTTTTTTCCTGTTTTTTAAACCATCTCATGACATTAATCAATTAGTTGAATGTAATTAATTAATGAGCCCAACAATGAGCCAATTCCACTAATAAGCCAGCTCTATTCATTATTTTATTTTGAGCTATCACAGTCATGCAATAGGATGCTCATTAAATCACAAATTAGCTCTAAAGTTAGAATCGTATAAAAAAATTGGTAGTTTAACAAAAGTACTTTAGATACCCTATACATCTCTAATAACATTTTTTTTTTACTAAATATTAACACACTCTCTCTCTTCCCGATCATGTCTGAATTTCAATAATTACATGGCCCTAACACATTCTGGAATATGAATCCACTATCCAATTCTCCAAGGTCTGTAATTTAGCTTCACAATACTACTACACTAATACAAATCCAACTGTAATTTACCTCATTTAATCCATCTGGATAATCAAATTTCACTGCATTTTCAGGGTCTAGTTGTGAATCAGGACTGTGTATGTTAAATTTTTCTTCTTCTGACTTCTCACCCATAACAGCTCCAAACACATCACATAACACAATGAAAACTAACCCTATTGAAATCATTAATTTCAGCATATGCATAGTCAATGTTCCACCACATTCTGAAAACCTGAATGCTGAAAACTTCTTCATGATGAGCATGTTCTTTCTGTAAAAATAACAAAAAATTAAAAACAGAAACCTTTTACATAAATCATAAAACATCAATATATAGTTTCTACTAAATTCTCAAATTTGTATTATGCATTGTGAATGTCTTAGCCTCATATCCATCAGTAAAAATGGCACTAATTAGATAAATAACTTTATATACATATTCATGATGTAAATATATTGTACATAAAATATTTAGAATAATCACACTCTAGAAAAAAAAAAAATATAACTGAGTGTGGTATCTCAGCGCAGTTGTGGACAGTGAAATATATACATTCTAATAATGAGTGTCATAAATAGTATAATATCTGGCAATACATCCTACTTACTTTGTTGACACTGTAAAAGATTCTTTACACCATGATGCAGATACAACTTACTTAATTGTCAAGACTACACATGACCAATCAAAAATTATGTTTTCTACTATGCTAAGCTTAATAAAATCCTGAATCACAATTCTGATTTTAAAAAAAAACAGCAATATTTGATTTAAGAAATAACAATTATCAAATAATCATTATTTTTTACAACCTTTTTAAAAGAACATAGAAAAACCCAAAGTAAAAGAATGCTATTCAGCCCCATTGAAGTCACCTCTTTTCTTTAAGTCTTATCTTAAAAACAATAATTGATATTTTAAATTTAAGTATATCCCTTCACATCAGCATACCTAACCAACACAATTTTAAAATAATTTACACTAACAGCACAATTTAAGATCTTAAGCCTACTTATTACCTCTTATATTCCACTTTTCATTCCACTATCCAAATATGTCCACAGAAAGATTATCCAACCTGCAACAATTTTGTATGCCTGAATCAATCCCCCTCTAATTCTTCGGCACTCCCAAAAGAACAAGTCTCAAACTCAAATCCTCTCCTCATTGCTTAAACAAAGAATTATTCTAATAGCTTATTTTCACACTCTTACCAAGATGTTATGCTTTCCAGAGTTAATAAGGGGGTTTAAAACTGCATTCTCTGTTCTAAATGAGACTTCTTGAACTTTGCACAAAGCTTCAGCATCATGTACTTGCATTTAAAATACAAATTTTCTAAAAATAAAACCAAAAATATCAATTGCTTTTTTTCACTACAGCTAAAGTGGATGCTTGGGTTTTATCAACAGAACTTAAATTCTTCTTTTTCTACCATGTCAATGTTTCTCTTATACAAGAATCGAATCCTTTCCAAATTTCAACACACTAATGGCAAGTGAATAATTTGCAATCTCAATATTAAAACTCATCTGTCAAGGACTTTCTGGCTAAAAGAAACTTCTCAACTGGAATTTTTTTCTTCCAACATTTTAGTATCACCAACAAATTCAATTATTTATGTACAAGACTAACTTTATAACATAAAACTTTTTTCTCTTTGTTAAATTAAATCTAATATATGAATGACAAAGTGTGTGTGGATTTGGATTTTTAGAAGGCTTATAATAAGAAGTCACACAGAAAAATAGCTAAAAAAGTCACAGCAGTAGTCACAAGACTAGTTTATTGGAATGTAGATTGACTAGATGAAAGAAGGCTAAAAGTTAATATTAATGTTAATGGAGTCTAGTCAAACTGGATCTCTGGTACTAGTGGTATACCTCAAGGGACAGGATTTGAGTCTTTGCTTTTCCTCTTTATATTAATGATACTGATAAGGGCATGATTAGTTAAAGTTAGTGATGAAATTGAACTATTGGGTATTTCTAATTATATTGAGACAGCTGAGGTACTACAGGATCACTGTTAGTGTTAAGCTGGAGATATACTTGCAAATGATGTTTAATTATAATAAGTGCATTTTTGTTATCACAGTTCAGCTCACACATTCAATAATAAAATGGATGGGAACCAACTCAACATTGCTACTGAAGCAGTGAAGGAAAAGATCATGACATGGCGATAGATGAGTCACTTATGAAGTTATCAAAACTGCTCTGTTGTTAGCATTAGCAGTAAAAATAATACAATTTTAGGATATATTACCATTATTACTAGACATATTGACTGAGTTCATGAGATAATTATCTCCATATACAAGTTACAACTCACTGGTTGAAAGTTAAAGAGTATTGTGTACAGTTTTTGTCTCCATCTTAGGATAACGACTTATTCATTTATTTGAAAGGCATCATATCAAATTTAATAAAAAGCAGAGGTTTTCTTTTAATTTTTCTTTTTTTTCCTCAGTGATGGGTGTGCAAAGATAGCTTTGAAGGATCAAATGGTCCTTAGCTCAAAACTTACTTACTATCACTGTATCAGATAATAGAGTATAAAAATAAAATTATGGTTACAACGCATCATTACGTACAAGTAACAACTGTGTTTTACTTAAAATTGATGACGTTAGGTCTGGTGAAACGTTGTAACCATAGTTATTACACTCTGTGTACCTAATAATAAAAGAGTTTCTTAAGTTTTAAATAATGAAACACTTCCTTTAATTATCTACTTTTGGTCCTTATCTCAAATATATAACTAGCTCGACCGGAAATTTCCCAAAGAGGTCCAATGCTAAACCAAGCATCGGGCTGCTTTTAGCGACATCTCTCAGTTCCTAAAGTTAACTTAATTAAACGCCGATAAATAAAACAAATATTTTGGGATTCCTATCGTGTTTTTTATGCTTGAATAAATATAATGATAAATTAAACATGCAATAAAGACATTAGTATATCTTCCGAAAAAGTTAACTGTATTCATTGGTAAAATGACAATAATATTTAATATCAGCATTATGTCAAGAAACCGCGAGATGTCGCTAAAAGTCGCCCAATGGAGGTAGTAGCGACTACTTCGAAGTTGTACGGAAATTTCGTTTTCATGTTCGAGCTGTGTGTTAATATTTGGTTTCGTGCTTTGGCCTTCGCTCTCAGTGTGAACGTGGAGAGCAAATCTGTAAGCAATATATACTAGGAGTGAGTTTTATAACAGACTTCAGTCTTAGGGTACCAATAATCTATCAATCATTCAACAGAGCAATTTCAACGACAACAAACATTCGCACGTAAGAAACAATTTCCCTCAGATAATTCGTTAAAAATAAACTTACATACGTTCAGTATAATAGAGTTGTTGAGTCTTCCACATTAATTGGACAACCTTTTTCATTCAAGAAAAAATATAGAAATGGATTTCACTAAGTTAAACGTTAGATTTAGATTGACGCACTACATACCTCTTCAAACGCTAACAAACAAATAGACCCAATCTTACCCACATCATCCTCAAATGTTTACTGAGACCTCTAGCGAAGCAAATGTTATTCAGAAAAATTACGAAAATGATTTAACTCATGTTAAATAGAAATAGTGTTAATGAGGAAAAACCTGGAAGAGTAAACAAATTTGGATAATCAGTGTATATGTTCAAAATAAATTTAAACAAGATCTAAGAAATATATATGTATATATATTTAATAATAAGACAAATTGCGAAGGAACTTGACTTTTCAAAGTGGTGTATTTCTATTTTTTCTATTAATTAGAATGATGGATTATTGTACAACTATAACATTTTCAATAAAGTAATTACCTTACAGCTATAAAATAATATGCTGTTGCCATCAACTAGTTTGTTACATATACCACTGTGTAGACTCTCTTTACCCTCTTTTAAAGTGGTTGAACTTCAATAACTAAATATAGTGCTTATTAACCTATTATTTATATACATATACTTTGCCCAAATATTTTAAAAAGTAGATAATTCGTGAGTATGCGCTTTATCAAAGTCATTATTTTATGTTGAAGTAAATTTGAAACTAATGATCTAAGACTCGCATTTCTGTTTGTTTGTTTTTTAGATGAAAAATGTTTACTCATTTCTAGATTCTAAAGTAATTCCGCATGTTACTATATTAACATGTTACCTTCACCAAACAAATTATATTGGATGTAAGTCTCAACTGATAATTTAATTATAAAACCAAATATGATTGATAATTTCATTTACTATGTACCAAATTAACATACTTTCATTTTATTCAATAAGTCATCTTGATATCCTATTATATCATTCATCTGATTCTGATTCTTTAACAAATCTATAGACGGAATAGGTTTGGTTTGAATTTCGCGCAAAGCTACACGAGGGCTATCTGCGCTAGCCGTCCCTAATTTAGCAGTGTAAGACTAGTCATCACTACCCACTCTTGGGTTACTCTTTTACCAACGAGTATTGGGATTAACCGTCACATAATAACGCCCCCACGGTTGAAAGGACGAACATGTTTGGTGTGACGGGGATTCGAACCCTAACCACTTGGCCATGCCTGACCTAGACAGGATATTCGATCACTTTCAAGCAAGAGCTTGGCAAAGTTTCTCTTATACTATCATATCGTGAACTTTGAAAGCGAAAACGTATGAAGTGGTGTAAATTCTCATCCCCCTTAGTATCTCTCAAACTAAAATAGGGTATAAAAATGTGCATTAAAAACATCAATGAACTTTAATTTTTAAGAGTAAATAATTTCTACCTGTGGTGTAAACCATTGTTTATTTATAATCTTAGGTAACTTTTCCTTTCTATTTCAAAGTATAGGTTCTCAAAATGCAAAAATAAATACATAAATAAAATGATGTGGCTCATCGTTAGACAAATTTTCCAAGTTTAATTCCATTTTAAGTGAAAATTAAAGCTGAAGTTTTTGGTTTTTGAACGACTACGTAATTAGTACACTGAGGGGAAAGTGAAGTATGAGTATAGCATGATCGTAACAATGTGGTGTAAAAGCAGTTTACATCACTAAATAATTGCATCAAAAACACACACACACACACAGAATAACTACATGAAAGATTTAAAACAAAATTAGCAATTTCACCTTACATGTTATTTGTATTTTATCTTATCATGAAAAATCTTAAGGTTGTAGACAGGTAAACGTCCGTAACCAAAATTCATTATTGTCTCCATATTTAACTTACCTCTAAGTAAGATGATAACAGTGATACATATTTAATATCATATTCATAAAACTGAAGAGTGTTTACTCTATTGTATTTAATTTTGTTATTGTTGTACTTGTTTCTATCATGAATTGACTTCTACCAATTTAAAAATAAGAAATTGCTGTTTATTACTATAATCAATAATGCATATATTTAAAATTAGGTTTTCTTTCTTACTGGCAACATGTTATTTTCTGCTTTCGCCTCTCTTGGTTTATTCGTTCTCTCTCGTACCTCCCAGTCTTTCTCCTTTCTTTCGCTGAACTCCTGCCTTTTATATTTCTTTCTCCAAACCCATGCCAACAATTCCTTTTCTTTTAAGACTTTGTGCCTGTTTTTTGTAATCATATTATAGCGATTCATAATCATAAGGGTTCCTGTTCCTTCCAAATACAGCCAAACTTAGAAAGGCAGCCATTTCCCCCAGTCATTTTCTAACGACCTAGAGTGCCTTAATCCCCTAATCCGTTAGGGATTGACAAAATGCTGGTCGCTTTCTGACCTCTTTCAAACTCAATCGACGTTCCTTACACCTAACTTCATAACATTTATTATTTTTAAAGTGTGGTTTGATAAAATTATGTTTCTTAAAATTTTTACATTATTATTTAATAACTGTTACATTAAATTTAATGAAAGGTTCTATGTTCATCCGAAAACTGCACCCAAAAACGAAACTTTATTCACGAGACAAAAACCTTCTGAAATTGTAATAAAACCTCCCTAAAAAAGTTGTTTAGATAATAACTTTATCACCCGGAAAAGAAAACTCGAACTTTATTTTATGAGCTCTTGAACCCCATAAATAATTTCAATTAATTATCAAGTATTATTAGGTATAAAAGTAGCAGACAACAAAACTGGCGTACAAAATTGTACAAACACCTCTGATACATTAATTTTCTTTTCTTTTTTTTTTCATTTCTCCAATGAAAGACTGTGTTCATCGTCTGTTTGCTTATAGGAGTAAAATATATATCCGTAAATTCTAAGCCAATAAGTTTAAAACATATTTACCAATGAGTCAAAAATCTGTACCATTTTTTTAAATGTACAATAGATGGCGTAACTTTATAAGTCAAGAAATGCATATAACTTGTCAGATTCTTATTTCAGGCATGGCATGACCTCGTGTTAGGGCATTCGAATCACGATCTGAGTGTCGTGGGTTCGAATCCTCCTCGTCCTTTTAGCTGTGACGGAGTTATAATGTGACGAACAATCCCACTCTTCGTTGGAAGAGAGTTGGCGATGGGTGGTGTTGACCAGTTCTAGTCTTAATTACTTCAACATTAAGGACGGCTATCGCAAAATTCGAAACACACAACACGGCGGCATGTATCTACTATTTACTTTACAATGAATTTTCTAACAAATCGAAATTATTGGGGAAAAAAATTATCTACGAAATAGCCAAATATTATTTTGAAGTACCCAAGTTAAACAATTTTTATACTAAAACACGGGAATGTACAGAGATTTAAAACTATAATGAAAGTAATGCGAAAAAAAGTTTAAACTTTAGGAATAAACTTTGTTTTGAGAATTTTTAAGCCTATGTGCGACCGATAGGATTTAAATTTGAAAAAATAAATTGTTTCGAACCGCCACCCAACAAAATTAATTTATCTTTTTTCAGTTTGTTAGATAAAGTGTACTTAAATGATGCCGAATAAAGTTTATTTGCAAGGATGAACTTATTTGACACTATCACTTATAAATTTATATCCTATCTCAGGACCCTTATCATATTCTTAATAGTTTCCTATGTATTTCTCCTACCGTCTGTCTGGTTTGGAAACGACGTGTTGAGCTCTGTACTGAGTCTTTCTCTTGAGTCTCCAACATAGGCAGAAGAAATTCATGAGACACTGTTTAATATGTCAAAACACTTAATTATAATACCTGTAAAAGTCTGATTACTCTATAAATGTATTTATATTACATACAAAGTCAACGGACCATTTGAAAACCCGAAGATTTCCTGTTTGTACTGAATAACTTTTTAAATACACCACGATATTCAACAAAACATCCATACATCACTTTTGCAAATATTGGTTTGAGCTAATCATTCAATACAGGTTATATATTTATATTAATACTTGCTGGAATCCTGACAGAAGTATTTACTTGGAAAGACTATGTAGATTTTTGTAAATGTAGTTTTATGCTTATTCCCACGGCAAGCATATTTTTTATATACATACTCATTTACACTGTCATTTGCTGTTGTGTAATTGTAATTGTAATTAAGCACAAAGCTACACAATGGGCTATCTGTGCTCTGCCCACCACGGGTATCGAAACCCGGATTCTAGCGTTGTAAGTCCGCGGACATGCCGCTGTGCCACTAGGGGGGCATGCTGTTGTGCATCAAGCTATCAAAAATTTCTTTTCGGTTTATGGATGGCCCAGAATTATGGTTAATGGACAAATAAGAAAGGCTTAAAACTATATTCTCACTCATAAGATAATTCATAGATCTAATACTGATTTAATAAAGCTCCAAGTCACCATTTTTATGATAACATTAGATCAATTCGATTCACAGCACTTGTTAAACAAATAGAGCTAAGCCTATCTTGGGTAACTCGGTAGCAGTAAACAACCTCGTATTTGAATTCTAGAATAACTACTATATTACTTATTTGATACCACTAATAGTGCATTTACTTTAAAATAAACCAGCTCAAAAACAACAAACATTTCTTTTTTTTTCTCTCTCTCTCTCTTCAAACCTCATATAATTTAACTGAACTTCGGCTTCTATTTATTTCACACGTTATCGTACATATACACACACACATATATATATACCATTAGATATCTTAAAAAGCTCTTTACAATGACCAAGACTACTCGTTGTTCAACTGGAGGTTGTCTAAATTCTCAATCGGCCGAACAACTTAAAACAAATAATTAAAACCGAAATCAGAGACATTTATCAGTTAAGCTTTTAGTAAATTATTAGCATCAATATATATGTGTACAACAGCACAGGAATATATCTATTCATACATCTATATTGTCATATACATATACCTCAATATCATATATTGTAGCATTTATTAGTAGCTTTGGACTTATGTCTTCTGTTCGTGAAGTGTTACCATGGAAACTAACAAGGGCTACTTCCACTAGCTGTGTTATGATAGCCGCTGTACCGTAACGAGCTGCCATTTATGAGCCTTTAAACTCAATATGTCTTCTCGCCCTTAGGACATAAATATCAACTAGGATTGTTGTTG